GGTGGCTCCCGGAGGGGAAAGACCAGAGGGTGTTTTACCTGCTCTTAACGAGACAGAGGACAAGGCGAGATCCTCCCGGTGGACAGGTCGAGCTGGTGACGCGTAGCTGAGAGGTCGTTTTCCGGTACCAGGAACTGGTGCGGAACGACCAGTCAGGATGTTTTCTTCTTCGCCATATCCTCTACCTTTCTCGTTCTTCACCCCAAACAGGATTATCTGATCCTTGCTCTCATCGCCGAAAGAACAAAACGCGACGCAGCCTATCCGCTCACGATCGCGATCCTGCTACATGATCTACGCGCTGCTCCCGTTATCTCACGGCGATCGAGGATATTTACTCGGTGTTCGTCCAGAAAAACGAAGGTTCTCCTCGGCCACGGCGAGATCCTGGCGGAGGAAACGTGTCCTTTCCCCGTTAACGGAAGGTAACGCCACGAATAAATGTTTAACCACGCCATCCGTTGTTCTACAAGGGACGGTCTCGTTAATCGGTCGCTGGTCGTGATGCTTGCGGTTTTTTCTTCTTTTTTGCCGTGTAACCGTTGTTGCTGCGTTCCGTTAGGCGATTACGAGCGGATAACGGCCTTCGACAGGGAATGATTTGGGTGATCGCCCTCGCGCTGGGGTAGTTCAGGGTTCTTCACTGTGTACAGGGAAACGAGCGATGGAGTATGAATCATTTTCTTTCGTGTATTTTGTTTCTTACGCTTCGATCGCCATGCGGAACGTCTCCCCTCGAGAGACATTTTCAACTCTTTGAACTCGGATTAATATAAATTAATATAAAGATTAATATAAGATTAGACTATTTTATGTAACGCGATTCCTGTTCGTTCATTTTGTAGCAAGATGGCGCAGAGTGCAAAGGGTTAATCGACGGACGTCTTTCGGTCGAACATGTATCGACGGATCTCTGGAAAGTCAGAGGGTCGTGACCGGGACGATGATAAGCAACGCAGATCGATCGCGGTGTATCCGACCGAACGGTGCGCGTTCGTCCAAGAATAGAACGGACGAGATACGAGGACGAAGACGAAGAGGTGAAACAGGGGATCGCGTCGCGGTTTCGAGAGATAGCGTTCGCTGACGCGATGTCGTATCACCGTGTATGACGACAACCCGGAGGACCGAGAGGAAAGGAAAGCGGAACGGTGACGATACCAGTCCGATCGGGACGGATACATAAATGCATTAACCAAAACAGTCACTGCGACTCCTTTTCGACGTCCACGTCGTCTGCCCTTACGTCCAGCAGCGTCTTATCTGAGACGCGAGGGATATCGAGTCGCTGTCCGATTCCGTCCGTTCCTTATCTCGCTATATATCCCCGCGTCGATGGGCACGCTCGCTAGATAGATAACGCCCGAAATACATCCATTATTCAGGCATTCGTTCGCATATTACGTAGGTATCGACGCGCGTGTCCGCCTTATCACCGACGGCGTATCGCGGTTGTTACCTTTACGTAAGGATGCCACCTCGGGAGGTTACGGCGACGTTGTAGCATTGGAGGAATCGAAAAAATTCGTTTGTTTTCCACGAGTCCGAGTTTTCCAGAACGATTTCCACTTGGTCTCATGCTCGAAAAATACGCACCTTGAGTGGGAATTTTAATCTCGAAGATTGGTGAAAGCTCTCGGGGTTGTTTAGTATAGCTACATGCGCGGAGCGACGTTTTTCGCGGGTAAAGACGAGAAGAAGATGGATAGATAAGCGATTGGAAAGGTAAGAAAGAAAAAGCAGAGAAAATCGGGGAAGCCCAAGCGTCGAGAGTTATGCGAAGGACGTGGCTTCCGCGACAGACTCGACGAAATCTTCGGCGCGATCTCGTCAGCTTTTTGTTTCACGCAGCCCCACGTCCACGGTCACGATCTATCGAAGCTTCCATCTAAAGTGCGTCCCTGCAGGAAAGTCGAAGGCGAAACAATCGGTACACTTGTTCGACCTCTCGCCGACGCAACCGACGAACCTTTGGCTATCCACGGATATCGGCTGCTTGAATCTAGCACGTTCCGTTCAGAGGTTAGAGGAAACTAATTCTAGTAGGAAATTTATAACGGAAGAAGTTTTTAGCGATGCCAACTACATATTTCAATGCCTAGAAATCCTAGAGATTCACTTTCGAACGCGTTACTTTCTCATAACCAGGTCGAATGGTTACAGGGTGTACCTGCGTGGTCCCAGGACGCGGGAATCTTGGAAAGTGTGTCGAAACGATAAAGGAGCATCCTCTTTGGCGTAAAAGAGACGCGTCAAATTTCGTTTGGAGGGAGCGTTGCGTATATACGAAAGGGGATTGCGGTCGTGAAGATTCAAAGCCGTGGGAGTTCACCTGCGCGAGCGACGCTGCTCATAAAAAGGAAGAGACACGAAGAGAATGGCATCGTTCGTGTTCAGCTTTCCCTCTTCTCGCGCCACCGACTTCGTGGGCTCATAAATTGTCCACTTTAGGTATTTAAGCGATAGATCATGTTTTAAACAAAAGTCGCGGATCGCCGCGCGTTTCGGAGAAGCTGTAAGAGGAGTGAATACGGGGGAACGAAGCAGCGGGGGAACGCCCTGACTTGCACGCCATACATAGCGGGGCCAACCCCATAAATCCCTCATCCGTCTCGAGACTGTTTTCTAATATTTTGATTTATGCCGCTTTCACTGGGCTAATTTGCTGGCCTTTATCCTTTATCCTTTATTTGCGTGTTTAGGGGTGAAATTTGTCCCTGGAGCTCGGGCGTTCGGTGGCCACAATGCAGCGCCAAGGAGGATCGCTTTCAGACGACCATTGTCGAGCCGTCTATTTCGGTTTTGTCCGAGGATAGCTCGAGGAACCTCCGGCTGAGAGACCGCGGGGGTGGGAAGCTGGTTGCGAAACATCCTCAATGGGGATACCAAAATATTTTCCGAGCTTGTGGCTTGCTCGATTTCTCTCGAGATCAAAGGGGATCTCGCGAGGGACTTACTCGACTTCCAGGATCTAGAAATCCTCTAGGAGTTGAAACTATAATTCGGACTGCAAAGAGTTAAAATTTCAATTTTAACTCAATCTACAATAGTGACAAGTGATATAATTTCTTAAGCACCAGGCTGGAACGACAAATCGTAAATTACTCGACGCGGTTCCTCTATCGTTCCGGATACGCGGATCCTTGGATCGAGAGACGGCGCGTACGGGCGTTACGCTGCTGAAAGGAAGGAAAAAAAATGCGAAAGGGTGGGTGGGGAAGAGCATCTCCGTGCTAAACTTCCTGTGGATCCACGTGGCCGTCCCATTGTGTCGCAACGGTTCTAATGATTCGTTCTGATCCGGTCTGGCCCCCTACGGGGGTTGTTTTCATACCCTAGAACGTCGCGACATATCGTGGTACTAAACGTGATCTCACAGCACGGGTTTTTGGGGTTTGGGGATGAACGAGCGTTTTCTCGTCGTGTTTTTCTTTAGGCGCCTGTCCATATCGATAGTTTCGGGACAGTTCCTGGAAATCGTTCGAAGTAATTAGTCATGTTTACGAAATTATTTGAAGCGATCAATTATGTTGCGTTTGCATCAGTCCTACAATAAAAGAATATTAATTAGTTTGAGAATTATACTATGTCATTTACTTAATTTTTAGTTTATATTAGTCTCGCAAGATAGATGTCAGAATTGGTCGGCGGATGAAATCAAGCACCAGCGTCAACCCCTCTATGATCTTATGGGGTGTTCCTTTCGGGGTGGTTATTCCGAGGGGATGACTGGATGGCGCAGGATCATCCATGGACGAGTAATAGCTCGGTAATACGACGGGGGCGATACACGCGGCAACCGGAAACGATTCAATTCGGAGACGTCTCCTCTCTCGTGCTCTACCACCCCAACTGTTAATTTATCGTTTGGTAAGTGACGCAGCTTATTGAAAGGACGGGGAACCGAACGACGACTATTGTCCACTGTTTGCGATCATTCTGGTTTTCCTATCGTCGCTTTTTACCGATTTTTTATATGTACATATAAATAAACGTCCATTTAAAGTACGACGGGAATCGAATAAAGCGAGCAATCGTTCGTTTTCGAACTCCTACCCGTGTTCTACTCTTTTGTGGTTTATCGAACAGATGCTTCGAGGATGTCACCGCGTTTCTATTATTCCAACGAACAGGCAGCTTAGGAGGAACGCTCGAAGCGACACGCCGAGAAAATAGTCCTGATTAAAAAGATCCGCGGACAGATGTCCCAGCATTTCCTCGAGATTCTAAGTTCTAGAACTTCTAGATCCTAGAAGTCTCAGAGCGTCGATATAGAATGTAGCGCCTAGAGATCCCAGAGGTCTCGGATCCACGTGAGAGCCTCTGGCCGGAGGATTAATTTCACGGGTCGATGGATTTTTTCTTCGTTAAACGATAATGCTGCCTGTCCGATCGCGACGCCCAAGAAGAAACTCCAATCCGGATTCGTCAGCATTCCGAGCCCGTCACGAAGAATGGGACGTCGTTTATCAACTAGTCGTGGGTGCTCGGCCGTCCGTAATAAATTATTTAATTAGTACAGTATTTAATCAACGCTCACGTGGCAGGGTATACCCGTCGCGGGTCGCAGGAAGGATGCCACGATCCAACGATTGCTCGGGCTTCGGGACCTATCGGGTTAGGTCTGATCGTTAGAACGGGACCCATCCAACGACTTATGGCAAAATCCGGTTATATAAATCCTGCGGGTGAGAATGTTAATGGTCAGTGTGCGTTGAGTTCTACTTTTTTGGGGGGTTGTTATTTATTTATTTAACTGGCATCTTCCGGACCAGCGCCATGGTCTTCGACTACACTCTTCTGGCGTACGTTAGGTATCGAAGTCGTAGAATACAGAGCTTTCGGCAATTAGAGTTCAAAGTTTTAGATTCTAGAGAGTCTTGAGATTCTAAGTCTTAGATTTCAGAATCTAAATATCGCAGGACTCGGTGATTCGAAGTGAAATTCATCCAACAACGAGCTAGATCGCGTATCGCGATCGAGGCTCGAGAATTGTTCGACTCTCGTTGATTACGCAAGTACGCCGTGGCACCGGGTACGAGAGAAGGTGGAAACGAGAAGACAGGGGGACGAGGGGGGCGGATAGGAGCGGCGCGAGTCCCGAATCTGGCGCTGAAGCAGGAATATCGGGATAATGCATTGGGGTCCAGACAGGCCTTGTTTATAATGGGTTGAACAAGGGTGCTAGAAGCCAGTGGGGGCTCGGGCCCCCCTAAGGCGCGGGTCTTATGGGGCCCCATAGGGACCGGCGGTGTTAACCGGCGGGCAGTCTCACTGCGGTCGGTGTTTGCTCATGAGCCGCGCGTGGTATTTAGGGATAACAAGAGGGCCACTTCATCATCCGCAGGAACGACGACCTTACGATTCCTTTCTTCCTCTGCTGCGTTGCAGTATCTTTTCCTTTCTTCGTCCGTGCCTCCATCATTTCCTTCGACTCTTCTCCTGGCTCCGCGGACCTCGTCTCGTCGATGTCTAAAAGTCTTGTAAAACACGAATGGTGTGGAATATACCCGATGTTTCAATTTCAAGTAAAAGTACCTTTAATAATATATCCTTCTCCCGATCTTTAATTAATTTAATAAGTAATAAAAAAAAAAAAACACGGTAAGAAGGACTTCTTTAATTTTTCGCGCAAACACCGGTGGAATTCAGCCCTGCGAGCGCGACGAAACATCGACGTGGACGAAGGGTCGCGGCGTGCATCGATCACGGAAGATCGTCGAGAATCCACCGCGGCGACGGTCAGCCCGTGGATCGATCGATCGATCGATCGCGTCTGGGCTCGCGGAGAAATAGATTGCCCCGCTCGCTTGACCGTGGCTTGGCCCGAAAAATCGCCTCTCTTTCGTCAGGGGATATGGATCCCTTTTATGGTAATGCCGTGTTTATGCGTTGACAGTCGCCGGCGCTTCCGAGCCCGGGGAAAGTATGCAAATCCGTCGTAGTCAAAGATTGAATTTCATTTGGTGGCCCTAGGAAAGGGGCGACCTCGATGTCCGACACAGCCGCGTGTCCGCGACGGAGATAACCTTTCGACACTCGAACGACCAACGACTCTACGACCTTTTGACGAGTGCCTTCCTGTTTCCATATGCATCAACCCCCGTCGACGTCGGGGCCTTTTGATTTTCGAGCCATCGGCCACGGCTCTGTGCCTTCGACGGATCCACTTTTCAGCCTTTTTCCCCTTGGCGACGAGATATACGCCACTGATTCGGCGTCTCGAATTTTTTTGAGGGCGTTATGCCGTCTGAATTTCGATAAACACGAAGGTTTTTAAATATTCATCGCGGCACGTGTACTGGGTCAACCGTGAATCTTCTTAAAAGGGTGTATTCTAGTCTAAAACTTTCAATTTATCGATATGGTTTTTTTGCATTTCTTCAAAGTGTAGATCTTTAAAAATATAACTGCCAACGGATTTCGTTGAATTCGGCTGGAATACGCCCTTAATTATTCGTTCCTCGCGAATACATTTGTTTCAGTGGGAATACAACCACCGAACCTGCCCGATGGATCAGCTGTGCCTGCGACCCCGAGGAACTTTGATCTCCGGAGGCAATAACTCCCTGCTAATTCGAATCTTTTTCCGTCTCGGCTCTTATTCTTCCACCGCGCGATCTAAACTGTAACTATTCGAAAAGCGCAAGACTTCCGAGGCGTCCGCAACAGGAATATCTCTTAAATCGCGAATTCGTCAGGGTTGGATTTGATCGGAATCTCTGGCGTCGTTCACAAACTTCGAAGGGCGAGTCTCGAGTATAATTTTACCATTTAGCTGGCTGCCTGCTCGAATCTGTCCCGGAGACGTTCGATCTATCGACGCTAGTGGACGGGAACAGGTAAACAAACGTGCGCTAATGCGAACTAATGTCGTCGGTACAGAAACTAACGACCCTGTCTGTCGTTCCGGCGTGTCACGTCAAAGAACCGCCCTGGACAGCTGCGGTTGAAGGGGTCGAAGGTTTCCGTTGTGCCGGCGCTCGAGGTCTCGACCTCCTTTTGCATTCTTCCTGGAGATCGCGGCGCCGATCTGTCAGCCGTGCTGCTCCGCAGTCCTTAGATATCCACGATATCCGCTCGAGACCTCGTGTTTCGACAACCGTTTTCTCGAACCTTTGATCTCCGATCTTCGATCCTCCTGGAAATCATCGTGTAGTCTTCGAAGCTTCCTTTCGTGTATGTACGTTGAGTCGAGAAACAATGTGAACGCAGTAATCGACAACATTTTTCCGCTCTTGGATCCTCCCAGACGTGCGCTTCTTCTAAAGGGAGCGCGATATAATGCATCAGCAGCTTCACAATGCGTTGCAGCGACGCAACGAATCGCTCGCAAGGATTCTCTCGTGGCATGAACGTGTTCCCATCGACCTTGGATGTCAGGAAATCGTAGTCGCCACGAATTCAAATTTGTACAAGCTCGAACATCGTCGTCCATGTCGGTTCCGACGATAAACTACGCGTTTGATCGGCTTGTAAACGCGGTTACCTGGGATTCGAGGCGGCCTGCTCGAAGGAACGATCGACACGGTGCCCGTCGACGCATATTTAACCGAGTCCTTTGCTGGAAAAGAAGAAGCCCACGGTGGAATGCGCTCCCATGAGTATCGGGACGAATCGCGGCGTCGATGATCGGGAAAAACCGATTTCAGATATTGCGCGAGCTATTTCTCAGCGTTTTTATTAATACCCTTCGGCCCCTTGGTAGATAGCATGGGCCCACGGCAAATTAGGGTGAAGCGCTGGCGCTCCACTCGTGAATCTTTTCGACCCTTCGTGAAAGGAGATGACTATCGTTTTGTCCTCGAAGGACTACCGTTGCTACCGACGAAAACTCATGAATTCGACGCTAATTTATCGTTTGGGAGAGCGCTGTCCCCCCTCGCTGCCTCGTCCCGTGCATCCAGGATGACGCCTCTCGCTGCTCTCGGAAGCGCCTTCGAATTCTCGCCGAGTTTCAGAGATTAATTGCCCGGCCGCCGCGGAAACGATCTCGCGTACGAGATCAGCAGGCAGTGCCTAGGTTGGTTGGCTGTGATTTTTCGGATTTGCGAGAGGAGTTCGCAATTTTAGCTCGAATGAAATAGTATCTTCGTCGCCAAGGAATAAGACGAAGAAGAAACGAGAGACACGCGCGTCAGCGAAGCGAAGACGAAGTGGCAGAAAGCAACGATACGGGGAGAAGAAATCTCCCAGCGCGAAGAAGAAGAAGAAGAGGAAGAAGAAGAAGAAGAAGAAGAAGAAGAAGAAGAAGACGAAGAAGAAGAAGAAGAAGAAGAAGAAGGTCCGTGACGCGCTCGTGATTCCCTTTAGGCTCAAGCTACGGTGCATCCGCGATCCTGCGCAGCATCGCACACACACACAGGTATACAAGGGGGATAATAACCAATTATTTTGGAGTATATAATTAGAAAATTACGGAGTCAGTTCCGACACAACGCAGGGACCCGGTTCCATCTCCTTTCTTCTCCTTCTGCCTACCGAGCGATTCCGTCTCGTCCTCTTCACTCGTTTCTTCATCTCTGTTTCACTCTCGGAGCTCCTTCGTGTGGCGTCAGAATTGAGATACAGATACCACGACCCAAAGTATAGACCGTGTAAGCTCTCAAGTCGCATGTGGTCGGTCTTCGGACCTTCTCTGTTTCCCTCGTCCTTTCTTCTCTCGTTCTTCCACCATCGCCGACTCGAACCTTCTTCTTTCAGTTCGATCCTCCTATTCCTTCCTTCTTCTACCTCGTCCCTTCTCTCTTCTTTCTCTTCTCTGCTCGTCGTTGCCTTCCTCTCCCAGTTCTGTTTCTTTTCTCTTCGTCGTTTCACGGCGGTTGAGTGCGTGTAGGTGAGGGTGTAGAGGTGGGCCGACCTTATGGCCCTGGGCTACCGGGCTTCGTACCTAAGCTGGTGCTCTTATACGGGGTGTCTGCAGAAACGCACTTAAACTTCATTCGATTCGCCAACGTGCACCGATAATAAACGTGTAACATGAGCAACCATGCGCATGGAAATAATAATAAAATAGGGTAAGAGACCATAGCCAAAGCTTCAAAGAGACGCAAACATTTCCACCTTTGGTCTAGGTACTAACCACCTTATAAATGATGCTATTCGAACTGAAGATCCCGAACCTTTCATCTGACCTCAACTCGAAATTTGAACACAGTTTGCCAGCGGGAGGTCGAAATCCGGCGTCAGGCAAGCACGCAGGAACCCGAATTAACTCGCGTATTCGAATTCGAGTGGCGACCGACGCACGAACCGTTCGAAGGAACGCGAGTTCGTTTAATCGGGCGCGACACAGCGAAACGTAATTTATCGTGGGACTGCGCCGCGAAACGATACGCTATCTCGTGAAAGTTTTGTTTCGCGGCACCCCCGAACTGTTTGCTGTTTGCCGGCGCGAAATCGTATTTCTGGCCACGACGTTATGCATTTAAACGAGCGCGGGGCTGATGCGCGGAGAATTAATGGAACAGTGAAAAATAAATATAGTTAGGAAATAATTAACGATCGCTGGATTACCGTAATCCGGCCTGTTCTTAACGTCGCATTGTATCGGTCACGAGACCTGTCGTGCTCGCCTCGCGACATTGTTAACAGGGTAAAAAATACAAAATAACCGTCGCGTCAGGTTTGATTTATACGAAAATCCGACCAGTCTCGACCGTCTCGCGCTCCAACCGCCATGAAACTTGTCTACGTCGAGTCGATAACTCGATAAAATCAACGCTGTATTTGCCTAGTTGCAACGGAGGCGGTTCGAAAGCTTTAGGACGTTTTCTGGATTTCGGATCGTTGGCGATCGTCGTCCTGACGAGTCCTTCGAGTTTGGAGTCATCGACTGGTACTGTGCTCTCAATTCAAGTTGCCGAGTGTCTACAAACTACAATCTCGTTGCAAAATGTGCAAACGAGAATCGCATTTCACAGAATAGTCTAACTTTGAATCTTCTTCGTGATTGGAGCGCACGGAGAGTTTTCGATCGCCGTGTATAGAGAGGAGCGAGCCGCTCGGCATGCAGCTCGCGACGCGCTAAATTATTAATCCTAAATTCTTTCGCCGCCATAATTCTCGCCGGGTGATTCGTCTCGAATTAGTTCCTATTAGGTGGTAGCCAGCCAGGGCTAATTCTCGGACGGTGCACTCGCAATTTAAAATCGACTTGTCGTCGTTGGCGGTTTCCAGAGGCACGACTGGTCGCCGTGAGTCGGCCAGACGGGTTATTAGGCCTGTTTTGTAACGAAGAATCGTCGCACGATTACGATTACGAGGGGAAGCGACTCGTTATCCGAAGGTAATCGACCGAAACACCGCCGAACATTTTTGTTTTTCGCGAACGAACCTATCTGGTCCTCGTTGACCCGACCGCTGATCCAGCTGGAAACCGATGACTCGTGGTTCTTGCGAAACTAAATGGATCATCTCGCATTCCTTTGACCTGCAAACGAACGTCTTGCGCGTTAATAATTGCCAGTGGATAGTCCTCAAAGTTCCCACGCTATTCGCGATTGAACACGACCATGGAGACAGTACCGAATCGAGTACCGGAGCGTTCTTAAAAGCCTGCCAGCGTCGCAGGAGACGTCCCGTCGATAAACTCACCACGCACGAGGATAGGAAATAGCAGGTTTCGTCGACGATAGATTACACACCCGGTACAGAAGCTTCGCCACCCACTCGAACGGCAGGACCAGCCCCGCCGGATCGTGATAACCCGCGGACAAATGCCGATAATTGCATTTTGCAGTTCGTGAATTCCTTCTTTCCTTCCTCGTCCGTGCTTTTCCTCCCGTCTGCTCCTCCCTGGTTGGCCCTTCTTCGGCCCGGCGCGTCCCGTTCGATACGAGACCCAACGGAAAGAAAATATCGATGCGATCGTACTCGCCGGCAATCGAGCATCGAAGACCGTTCGAGTTCGCTCTTCGCTGTTTCGTTCGATGTCCTTCCTACGATGCTCGGCGAAATTTGTTAAGTACACCGAAAAAGTTTACGCTCCGAGCGGTAACGACACGGGGCTACACGCGCATGCCTCTCGCAAGACGTGGGCGGACAGTGGACAATACCGGCCGCACACGGCAGACCAACGATGAGAATTCAATATCGTCGACGAAGGAGGTAGGAAGCCGAGAGAATGCTCGCTGATAGCTCGAAACCGTCCCGGAGAGAACGAGGCATTAATCAGCCGTTTCGATTCCGTCCTTCTCGATTAAGTGGATCGATTGAGTCGTCCCACTTTTTAATTAAATCTCACGGGGTTCGACAGGCACGATGACCGAGGGAAAAGTACCGCGGCTGAAGAACCATAACAAGAGGTTCGATAGTGGTCCAGGATTACAGTTGAACTATTTTCGGTATGGATATAATATTAAAATAACGATTAATATTAAAATAACACACCGCAATAGCTGGGATTTTACTTACTTTTTTTATTCTAAGAGAACGAGTAAGATGCAATTCGAAAGAGCGAATAGTCTCCAAGCCAAGGTTCTTGTAAACCGCGCAACGTTCCTTCTAGCGCCTTGTACACGTCCGCGCAGGACCGTGGATCCATAACATGTATCCTGCGCGATCGAACGTGTACCGTATCCTTCGAGATCCTGCTCTATCTGTACCTCCGGCAGGCTTCGGCGTTCGACTTCTAAATCTATCGTGCCACGTTTTTCCAAAGCGCGAAATCGAAGAGTGTCCCTCGAAGAAAGAAGTTTCCCCACGCGAAGAGAGCGCCGGTAACATAAACTTTGGATGAAAAGCGTCTGCGATCGAATCGAGTCGTAATAACGACTTGTAGCCGTTTAATTTATCGCGACTGCGCGGCTATGATTGGTTACCGCGATCTCCCGACATTCTTCTTCCACGTTAGCAGCCACCATTCCTCTGGCTGCGCGAGGACATCCTCGGTATTCTCAATCGGCAACGAAACGAGGACGAGGGGGAGAAAGAGAAACGCTGATTCGTATCGGTCTGAAATCGAGCGATTCGATTGATAATAACTACCTTTGGTCGGGACGCGTCGTTTCTGCGAATCGATTAATTATATCTGGATACTGGAATAACGAATGACGCACGTTTTTGCCGCGTACTTTTTGTATCGTTGAACGCTCTTTTATGCCAGGACGAATCTCAGCTATGAGGACACCGTCCCAAGGTATCGGAATCCTCGTCCTCGTCGAGTAGGCCCCTTAACTTGGACCAGTTCTTAGAAAGAATTCTCCACTCTCGGCTAATGTTAGCCGGCTACCCCAAGTGTCTAACATTAAGCGAGGCACTACCGTGCTATCTTTTCAGCCACGGTCAAGCGTCCCTAACAAAAGCGCGAGACGTGTCCTTCGAGCGCGAGCCCGCGGGCTGGCCCTCCACCCTACTCCCTCGTTTCGGCCACCCCTCTTTCTCTTCGACGCATCGGGCCCAGTTCGGCGCGCAACGAAACCTCGGGAAGGGCCGAAAGTTTCGCGAGATAACGATCGAAGCCTGAAATATGCACCACGCCAATTTGCCGATCAAAATTATTATTAAGAGGTACCTCTGGCGAAAGGGCCGCCGAGAGGGATGGAGAGAGAGGTCCAAAAGGGGGGATGAAACGCCCTGGCAGCGTCGTCGTCGTACCGAACCGGCGGCTCCTTCTCGTTTTGCACCGTCAGGCTGTAATATTCGATGTGCGAAAATCGGAAAGACCAGAGACTGGGGCTTGGAACGGGAGGAACGAGGACGGTCGCGGGTGCCCTCGTGGGTAGAGGCAGTCCACGTCGCTTATGAAATATATCGTAAAACCTTCGGGAGGAAGCCCGACGAACGGAGCCGCGAAGGAAAAGGAAGAAGAAGGTGGAGAGGACGTGGAACGTCGAGGAAAGATCTGGGTACCTGGTCGAGGGGGATGGGAATGAGTCGGAGGACGGGAGGCGCAACGTGCAAGGCGAAAGAGAGACGCCGAGACTGGAGGCTAAGCCTGTAATCACGAGATGGCCAGGAGCTACTGGAGCTGATTGTTATCTTGTATCTACACCCACCACTTTATCGCCGGCCATCTTATTATCTTGGACATATTGACGTCACGCACGTACACGAAGCAGAATGCCTTCCTCCTCGCGGTGCTTCGTTCATCCCTCTTGAGGGTGAAACGATTCGAGGAGCATCACCCGGTCAGGAACCACGCGTTGCCAATACTGGAAACGAAAGGAAAGTTAAAAGGATTCGAGTTGTTTACAGATTTCCATGTATATGTTTCTAGGACTAGTACCTGTACCTGGAGGCTTGGGGGCGGATTAATGTTTGCGGATTAAGGAGTGTTGCTCTTGGGTCCTTTGTTGCTGGTGAAACCTGGCCCAGTTGTTTAGCTACAGAAATAAAACATTTATTTAGCTAAAAAAGTAATTCGAATGGTTTCAAGTTGATAATCGATCGAGCAACGGGTGTTTCGTACCGTCGCGTAATCTCGCAGCGTCGTTAATCGCGTTACGTGGTCACGTCGGAGAAGTTTCTCGCTGGGTCCTTGGAGCACGGGTTCAAAATAGTTTGCTGGTACGGGAGCTGTCCCTGCGAGCTTCTGGAACAGTCCCCATGCTCGATTTCAAACGCAAATTCGCGTACGCCGCGTGTCCCTTTGCGAGTTTCGCGTCGTCCCCGCCAAGGATCGCGGTTGGCGAAGTTAGCGCGGGACGATTCGATCCCCCGTCAGCTATAATCGAATCCTGAACAAGCTTAATCCATTCCTGCCGACGCTTATGACGTTTTAACGAACTATTTGGGACCCGAGAGGGCCAACTACTGCAGCGTTTCCGTTCTGTCGCCTATGTCCACAGAGTTCTATTTACTTAAGAGGTATTTACACGATTTCCAGGAGATGAGCGCAAAAGGTCGCGAGACATTCGCAACGAAAATCCGTGGTTTTGTTGTTCTCCGACCTAACGAGACACCGGATCCACGACGTTGCGGTTATCTGAGGACAGACTAGCGTAGTTTCGCTGTTGTGGCTCATGAAAAATTCGGGTCACGAGTCCCTGGCAGTAAATAAAACCATTGTCTTTTCCCCCCTCCTTCATTGTTGACATATTTCTTCGCGCTCCTCGCATCGTTCCACGCGCGAGCTATCGATTTCCCTTCCCGTCTCTCGCAGACGGAACGCTAAACGATGAACCCACGACGAACTTTTTCTTTCGCGTTTGTTCGAATGCCGCCATCGATTTCTCATCTTCTCGATATTTTCTCAACGTTCGAATAGTTTCGCGATCGACGGGTCTTCGATGATAGATTAGGGACGCAAAGGTAACGAGGAAAGGTCGTATAAACCTACGAGCTATACGACCTATATGTTCCTAAGTTAGAATTGTTTACATACTTCGACAATTTTAATATTATTTTTTTTTTATTTGCACGTAATAAATTACTAAACAAGTGCAAAACTTTAGAACGGATTCGCTCAGTTTCCCAAGTCAAACGAGGTTTTCCCATGCTCGACGGTCGATCATTTCGTTTACCAGCTGTTCTCCTCTGCAACCTCAGTTCCTCCTGTTCCCACGGGATGGCAGCACGGTAACTCCCCGGTGGATCGTTCGGGGAATTCCCAACCAAGGGGCTGTTAGCGTAATTTTTCTACCCTTCTTAGGGTGCGAGGACACCGTGCGCTGCTGCCACCTGGCGAACAGTTTCCACGCAACTCCACCGTCTTTCTCCAAATAGTCGCTTCTCTTTCCAACGCTCCTCCTACGATCGCCTAACACCCCCACCATTGGCATCTCATCCCCACTCCATGTTCCTCTTTCTCCTTCCACGGATCCATCCAGGTTTCTCTCCCTTTTCCGCCGTTTCCAATGCCACTCGTTTTCCTCTTTTTCTCGCTCCTTGTCGCGTCTTATCTCGTCCTTCTTTCCACCCTATGTTCGTTTCTTTCTCCCCCCCCCCCCCCCCCCTCCTCCTTCACCGTCCCAGTTGCAACTAGAACCGCGGTCGACGGGGAATCATCTCGCGGCCACGAGGAAACGCTATAGCCCCAGTAAAATCCCTCCGTAGCGTATTTCGTATTAAAATATTAAAATATTCATTCGAAGCATAAAGGCGGCGAAATTACGCCGGTTAGCGTCCTTCATCCACGCACGGGGGTCGGGTCGCGACGATCGTTCCTTTTTTTACGGCTGTGCCGCGACCTACGACACGTTCTAAATTCCCAAACTTCCCCCGGCTGATGGTTCGGTTAGCTTTCTTTTATTCTTCCAGGGATGACCGTGGATGCGTTAACGCAGTGGTTCGCAACTTGGTTCCTGGGCCAAGTGAGCACGGAGATATCCTAATGTAGGAGAGGGTGAAAATTTTAATAAATTAAAGCGAGACGATTATCCTACCGCAAAGGGTTGAAAAGGACTCGTTGCGACGTCATCGGACGTCGATGTCCCTGAAGACCGTTTCGAACGTGCCCCTGGTGTTTTTCACAAATGTTTTCGCACCCCACGAAGATCCCGGACAAGGTGCAGGGGACTCGCTGGGTCAGGAAAGACCGGCTAAATTATGCAAGCGAACGTTCAGGTAGCAAAGTGTTTTCACGCAGAGGGGCCCGTTCGCTGGTCGCTTCCCTAGTTTCCCCCGACCGTCACCCCTTGCTACCTGTCGGGTCCTAAGCAAATATTTCACGGCAGCGTTCGATCCAATTTGACACAATAGGGCTGCGCAAAATCGAATTAAGGGTGCATTACGAAGACGGAGATCGATCGAGACGAAGAAGAGGACGGAGGCTAGAGACTCTTGAGAGGAAATATTACCGCTGGAACGAGAATCTTATATCGACGAGATAACGATATTGTTAACATTTCTTTATAATAATAACGTTAATAACAATTAAATTTAGAACAATTTAAATGTAACAGAAAGTGTATTCTATATCAATTGCATTCTTTCGTCGCAATCGTTCCGATTTGTCGCGAAGAGTTTTCCCCAAGTTTCCGCTCGGTTACGAGGGAGACAACGTCCCAGGGAACGTCTGCGCGTGTAATAAAGTTGGCAAAGAAGCGATAATGGCGGGTCCGACATTAAAATGCTCGTAATTCCGGCGAAACAGGCCGCTCGCGCGGCGTGTAATAACGGACCCCGTAAATGACAGAGTCGAGCATAATTGGCATCGGTGGTGCGCACGAAATTCCTAGGTTCGGTAAGAGCTCGGCTATACTTATCGTTAGCGGGCCGCGAGTGGCATCTCCGGTGTGCTTGCCGTATCTTCCACGATGTCAGTCGATATTAGCTAGCCCCCAGGACGTGCGTGCGCGCATCGCGGTAAAACAGCCCTTCAGGACCCTCTTAAGCTACCTAGGATCGTACCCGTGAACCTGCGAGTACGAAGAACGTTGAAAGCTTCGAGGCTCGGCGTCGCACCAAAATTAATATCTTGGGCCGTTCCGAATGATCGTCCACGGGAGTGCAACAGTTGTCGCGACGTTTCTGGGTCGTCGCAGGAGAGGTTCGTTGCGATTCCGTCGCGTCGTCTTGCGTCACACTCGATCCAACGAAACGGAAGGAAGTTGCGACAGGAGACGAAACGGCAGCGAAGGAGCATACAGACGTGTTCAAAGATTCAAGCTCTCGGCTATTAAGAGCTAGGTCTAGGTTCGGTTGACTTTTGATGGTCTTTTTCGGAGCGATAAGTCCGTTTAAATCGCTGCCAGATATTTTTAGCGAAATAGTGTCGTTACTTTGCTCAACTCGAACCCTTCCAGTCTTTAGCAGTCGATGCAATCGACGAGTCGAGATGCATACCAGTATGCGTTCCTGTGCCGCGAGTCCACTTGAGTGTTTTACCAGCGAGAATCGTTCTCCAGAGGACTCTCGAGCGGACGCAGCAGCGAGAGTAATTGCCGCGAGGAGCTATAAAGAATGCCCTCGAGTGATGTTCGCGATGCGAGAGGAATCCATCTTTTCGCCCATAAAATGCGTTTTCACGGTATCAACATCGTCAGTTGTTAGCGTATATATCACGCGGTGCCTTGGCTAATCGAGAAACGAACTTTCTCAACTTTATAGACAGCCTGCTTCTTTCTTTTTTAATTTCTAGAATATATTGAATGTTACACCGAAACAACAAACACCATAGAGAAAAAGAAAGATGATTCTCGTTGGTCCCCACCCCCTTCACAGCAACGAGGTGCCCACAGGTGCGAAGGCGCAAAGCCAGTAGTGGGTAGTTGAAACGGTACGACACAGGGGGATCCACGGCACACGATGATCTAACTCACCCCTCCTGAGGGGTGGCTGGCACGTACTGCATAATGCTGCTACCTGTGGCTCTCATTTAAATGTACTAAACCTCGCTCGTTCGCGCTATATCCCTTCCTTCTTGCTCGCCGTTAGCTCGCGAAATCAGATTCTTTTTTATCCAGCTGGTTCCTATCGATACCACCTCCGATGGGAAGGTGGGTCCCTTCTGGCCCACTTTTCTCTTCCAATTAATCGTTAGCTTCGATAACTGGCTCCGAGGTTTACTCGCTCGATCCACGTTGCGCTCTAAATCGCTAGCCGTCGCCTGAATCGATCGTACAGACGAACGTGCGAACACGTTGCTCGCGTGCAAACTAAACCAAAAGTATCGATACCCGAGTTAGCGCAATTTTTGTACGAATACTCTCGCTCGAGCTTCGACAAGACTTAAGAAATGGTTGACTAGGAACGCATAATATGTACGCGTAATAATCTCGAACTCGTTTGAAATCTACAGGTATATTGCTCGTCCACGCTCCCAGTCCCCAGTCATATCAAAGTTTGACCAGAAACGTTTCAAGAATATACTCTATACTTGTACGTGACGAGATACGTTCGGTACATCGATCCACGACTGAAATACTCAAGATTTCAATTTGTCGCGTGTCCCTAACCGCGTATCTGAGAGCAAATATTCGTATTTCGCGCGAATCCTCTATTCTCGTTCGGCGGAGTCAGCCTCGAAATTGGGACCTGTTGCGTCAGTCTCGCGACCTTCGTGACCGGACTTCCTAGAGAGCCGCGAGTCGCGAGTGAGCCAAATCGACGACGTCCAAAGAGCAGATGTGGATGGGCAAGGGTTGCGACGCGTAGACGCGTTGAATTTTGAGGGAACGCGTGCAACAGCGAAGCGATCGAGTCGCGCGGCTGACGGTTTCTGTTCTGTCCTCACGGATCTCGGAGCAGGTTCGGTGTGCAGGCGCGTCGACGGCGTCAACGTTAGCGGACGCAGTCGAGCAGAGGCTCCGTTGCGCTCGGCGCTGATCGAGTCGAGTCGAGTCGCGAGTCGGAGCTGAGGCAGTGGTGGCGCTGTAGGGGCACGGAATGAGAGGACAGGGGTGAGATCGGTGGCGCCTGGGGTGCGTAGGCCGCCTAAGAGGCGCGGTCCCTGCTCGCCCCGCCCGACGGTGACGTTCGTCGACGGCCACCTTGCTCTTGGGGCCAATCGGAGCTGGTGCATTGGCCGTTGGTAGGGATGTGCAGGACGGTGGCGCGCATGAGTCGTTTCCACCGAGCGGCGGTCCGGGAGCTCGGGAACCTCGAGCGAGCTGCGAGGCGAGGCAGTCAGTCGCTCTCAGCTACGACATGCATAACGCATGAGAGAGCCCGAGCGAGATCTTTTGCGACCCGTCGTCTCTCCTCTCGCGCGCAACACACGATCGTGTTCTCTCTCCCTCTTATTCGTCGCGAACCACACACTCGCGACTCGGAGAGACAACCGTGGACGAGGAAAACGCACACACGCGCACCGTACGGAGTCACCGCTGTGCACCTTTTACTTGCCTACCGTGCTGGTGATCGTCCGCACTCGTCGTCGTGGATCCGTTTCGCGTTCCCGGAGTACCGTCCTGTGCCCGCGCCAGCAGCGTCGTCCCTAGACGTCCCGATCGCGAGTGTCGCGCCGTGCACCGTCTACGACACGAGCCTGTCTCTCGCCAGCAACCAACTCCACGATTCGTCGAGTGATAACGCGCGTCTCTGCGATGAGTGATCCACGGTAAAGGACTTCGCGAGTGATATTGTTCCGAGATTACAACGAAGACGCGTAAGCGTCTCCTGGAGGAGACGTTCTCCCCGGGTGGACGGGACAAGGTTCCACGAGGGAGATACAACGTTGTGTGTTCTTCGTAACGTCGCGGATTACCATCGTCGATCTGACAAAACTATGGACTACGAGTTGTTTGCACGCGCGAGGATGCCGCTTGCTCGGGATTTGGTGCGTCGTCGCGAACGATGGACTGTGCGCTGCGTGTGATCGGTGATCGCTGACCAAGGGAACAGGTTCTTCGTTCGGGAGAACAGAGAGGAAAGTGTACAGTCTGCGTAATCGTTCGAAGCGTTAAACGAGAACGATCCGTGAACTTTGTTCGCGCTACTCTGGAATCTACACCAGGAATCCACGGAAACGAAAAAAACAAACGGCATACGAGCGGCGGAGAACGACCGTCGACGAGGAGAGAAGAAGGTAAACCGAGAGGGTGCCCTGTCGGGGCAGCCCGAACGCTGGGCAGTAGAGAGCTAGGCAAACAGTGAGCAGGGTTGTCGAAACCTCTGAACGAGGGGAGGTAGATGGCAGCTACCACGTACATGCCGATTGGTAGCGCAGTGTCTTCCGAGCTGGATGTTGGTTCGGGATCCGGGATCGGGATGAACATCGCCGTGGGTGGCTACTCCTCGGGCTCGCCTCGCAGCGCCGCCGATGCCGGGGAGATGAAGTACATGCCGGCGCCGCAGCATCATCACCATCATCACCATCATCACCAGGTGTCGTCGTCCCCGTCGCCTAATGGACTCTCGCATCCGACGGCGAGCCTTTCGTCGGCGAATCCCTGGGTGAGCCTTCAACCTAGCAGCGATCATTGGGCGTCCTCGATGGGGATGCACCACACCAGCCATCATCCCCATCATCATCCGCATCAGACGAATGCCGGGTTGGATGTAAAACCTCTGACCGCGGCGGCGACCGCAGCCGCGGCCGCTGCTGCTGCTAATGAACAATCGATGCATCATCGCGGTGGTCCTCATCAATCGCCGGGGATGGGATCGCCTCATCCTTGGCACGCGCCCGTCGTCCCGTCGGCGCATTACAACCCCAGCGGTGGCGCGGCCTCGCCCTCCACCCTGCAACAATACCACGCCGCGATGAACGGTATGCTGCACCCCCATCCGCATCAGCATCATCCTCAGCTGCACAACCACCAGACGGGACTTCATCCGAACCTGAGGGACCCAGGTTCGCCCGGCGGACATCCGTTGCATCCTGGCCACGCGCACGACAGGGATCACAGCGCCGGCGAAGAGGACACTCCGACCTCGGATGATCTCGAGGCGTTCGCGAAACAGTTCAAGCAACGGCGCATCAAGCTTGGATTCACCCAGGCGGACGTCGGTCTCGCGCTCGGTACTCTCTACGGCAACGTCTTCTCGCAAACGACGATATGCAGGTTCGAGGCGCTCCAGCTGAGCTTCAAGAACATGTGCAAGCTGAAGCCGCTGCTGCAGAAGTGGCTCGAGGAGGCGGACTCGACGACCGGCTCGCCGACGAGCATCGACAAGATCGCCGCCCAGGGCAGGAAACGAAAGAAGCGCACGTCGATCGAGGTGTCCGTCAAAGGTGCCCTCGAGCAACACTTTCACAAACAACCGAAACCCTCCGCGCAAGAGATCAACACGCTGGCGGGCAGCCTGCAGTTGGAAAAGGAGGTGGTCAGAGTTTGGTTCTGCAACCGACGGCAAAAAGAGAAGAGGATGACGCCGCCGAACACGCTCGCTGAGGGTATGATGGAGGGTATGCCGCCCGGACACCAGGGACAAGCCGGTCTGCATCAGGGATACCACACGCAGGATCACCTTCACGGCTCGCCTATGGGGCACAGCCATAGTCCACCGATGCTCAGTCCTCAGGGTCTTACGGGCCACTCGTTGGCGGCTCACTAGCGTTCGCCCGGGCCTCCCCCGTTGGGCCTCTCGATAACCTCTCAAAACTTGGTGAATAACCCGGCGGTATCGTCGCCGCCGGACACGCTCCCTCCGTTCTATCATCATTACCTGCAGGCGCGCACAGGCAGCTACTCGACTACTTCGTAGCCGTGACCAACGAGCTGTCCCGACGCGCCTCGCGTTCTGTCCACTTCTTGTCGGCAGCTCGACGGAGGAGCCTACCACTATGGCGCGACGTAGGCACCACCGAACGATACGTTCGTGATACGCGCGCCAGGAGATATCGCACACATTCATCTCGATGAGGTTCAACGGGGTTTACGAGGCCGGGCCCATTAGGGAGGCCTGCTATCCAGCCCATTCGCCCTCGTGGTCGTCGTCAGCAACGCGCCAGGGAGTTCGTCGTGGACGCTTGTCCGTCATCGTCGGCAGCGATAAGATCGGATGTCCGTCGATCGTTCCGGCTGTGTTTGGATGTTGTCCGTTCTCGCGTCCGCGTCCACGTCCCCTGGTGTCTCGAAAGTGCCGTAAACGCGTGTAACGATCTCCTCGGTTCCGTCAGTCCGTTCGTTCGTTCGTTCGTTCGTTCGTTCGTTCGTTCGTTCGCGATAAAGGATAGACGCTGCGAGTTTGACGTCGTTCGACGTCCTCGACGACGCTTCAACTGCCCCTCCTTCCTCGCACGTGGCTAGCGATAAAAAATAAGTGCGCGATGTTCTCGTTTCTATCTCGAGGGGGACGTTTTGTGTGCATCGACGAACGACAGGAAATACCGACGGACACCGACGGACGAACGCCGCGACCGGTGGCGAATGATGGCGGTTGTGTTCGCGCGGGATTTGTACGAGAGGCAAACCCGCACGGATGATGTAACATAAGTAAATATGGACTGTAAATAATGTACCACGTAAAAGCTAGTAAGTTAAGTGATGAGGAGCGTGCATCGTCGAACGTCTCGTTTTCTTCGTTGTCGTCGCCCAGGGAACGGAAAATAAACGGGTGATAAAGTCGGAAGGGAGAGTTCGACGCCAGGGCGCGACGAAGCTAAATATGTTTACAAAAAAAAAAAAAAAAGAAACAGAGCAAAGACGAAAAGACGAACGAGACGAAGCTGATATTCGCGAAGAGGGAAACAGGACACGCGCCCGGAAAACGGGAGAAAATTAATGACGCGCGTGTTTCCTCGGAAAACCGTGTGCCGAATCCTAGCGACAGCAGAGCCCCCTCGCAAAGAAAAACCCCTTCTGTATAAAGAGTAAGTATATAAATATAAATAAATATATATATATAAATAAATAAATATATATATACACACACACGGAATGAATATAAATATTATATATGTATAAAATAAAACAAAGTCTATGTATATGAGAGAGAAAGAAATCTATGGCGACGTCGAGAGGTTGTAGCTATATTATATATTATTTGCGACGTTTTTATTGTCAAGACACCCGTTTCTCGCGGATGGTAAAATGAAAAAGAAAAAGGAACTATTGTAAACGATGAGACAGGTCTGTCAATATTATTATTTTGTCATGCGTTACGATAGTTTTCTTTTTTTTTTTTTTAATTATTATCGCTATTATATTTTCTTTCTTCTTTTTTCGTCATCTCTTTATTGTCATTTATTATTATTCTTTATTATTACCGATTACTATTAATTATTACTATTATTAATGTTATTATTGTCATTCCGTTCGCCCCGGAGGCTAATCGTAGAGCGAGAACTTTGCGTTACGGTCGTCGCCGGAGCCTCCTTCTTTGCTCTCTTTGTTCCTCGTTGCAATTGCTCTTTACGCTCCGTTTCTCTTCTCTTCTCTCTCGTTCGATCAAGTCGTTCTTATCGTCTCTCGATACAACGAAAGCTTCTCCTGCCGTCGAAAGAAAATTCCCTACTAGATGTCTCGCGGTAAACCGTCCCCATGCTAAATTACCTTTAATCTCCGATCATTAGCTTTTGCTTGAGTGGTAGTCGGTGAAATTACGTTGGGGAGCAGTCAGCGAATTTTTTGTATCGATTTGGAATGTTAAAGGAAAGACTGAGATCAGATATTTTGGACAGTACTCACGGTTATGTACAAATTTGTATGTATATATAAAAATCGAAGCTGGGAAATACTAGAAATAAATACGTTAGATTTGTTTAAGTTTGTGGATTGTTAATTGTTTCTTCGATGTTGGAACTGATACTCTCGCTCTGGGATTGGTCACTGGACGTCGCGCATCAGCATCAGACTTTTTCCGCGACGGAAACGCTCGTTTCTCGTAATTTTCTTCGAGCGTACGCGACGGCTGCGCGAGATCGTCAGTGAACGATGTTGATAAAAGTCTAAAGTCGTCGTCTTCTTATTTTCCCAGTTGTAAGTTTGAAAGATTTCTATTTTCATTAAAAGTTCCGTTAATTTTTGTAGCATTCGAAGCAAACCGAATACTCCGAACAGAATCTAAGAGTCTTTTCCTTGTTTTATTCTGTTTTAATTAATGTTCGATAGGTTTCGCTATGCCGAGTAGATACGGTCGACGAAAACAATCCAATCTCGTATGTTTCCCAAGAACTGAGAGGCGACACATCCGAAGCAATCGATTCGATTATTCTATTCGACGTTAATGGGCAAGAAAGGGAACGCTATTATTTTAATTTGTATCCACTTTGTTCGCAAAGAAGCCAGCAGGTGTTAATTTACGATTGCCCTTAAAATTCCCATCGAAGTCGAGGAAGAAGGTGCTCTTTTCTCACGAATACTGCGCCATGAATAGGCGATCGCGACCTCGAGGCTCCTTTTTTCACGCCTTTTCGCGCGTAGGTGGCCGCGCAGTTTGTTTCCTCCACCCCTTCGCTTTTTCTCCGAGTTTCTTTCCTCTCTGGACGGTTGTGTTCCGTGCTTGTGATGACACCCGATACCATGTACCGCGTGCCTACGCTAAACGAGACCCCAAGATTCGTGTCTTCTTTTTTTCCCTCGCGGTAGCCAAGCAGAGTGCTTTGAGTAGTATTGGCAAAAATTACTATCCTGATAAAACATTCCAATTTGATTCGTCCTCAAAAGTCTTATTTGGATAGTAATCTTATCAATTTCAGGCGCGAATTTGTCGAGGCAAAGATCGAATTCCGATCGTCGCCGAGCAGAAAGAATTCTCGAATAAATTTTTCGAAGCACGCGCGAATTATGCGAATCGCGTATGCGCGTGAGACGATCCACGACGCACGCGGCGTGCGCGAGTTGTTCGGCGGGGATTTCGAATGGTCGCTCGGAAAGATGCTGATCTGTTTTTCAAAGATTCTTTGTACGCCTACGAAACACACGGACGCAACGACTTGTTCGAAATTGATGGATGAAAATTCGTAGCTATCGGTCTATGAATTATTACAGGAGAAAATCGATGTGTACACGAGAAAAGACAGAGGCGACCATCGAATCGCAACAGTCTGTACGACAATCATGTACACTTCGTAATTATCGTTTAAACGTGGACGATAGTTGTCCAAACTATCGAAAAAATCGTTACGTTTGTGGGCCCCCGTTTACTCTGTGTATTTCAATTTGTCGCGGGAACAAATGAAATTCGAATCGTGTTCACCGTTACAGTGATAGAATTCCAGGAATGTTCGGCCACCTCGGCGTTTCCCAGGCCCACGAAATCGGTTCCCGTCGCTTTTCCACCGATTCACCGCAGTGCCATCAATATCCCTCCGGTAATCGGCTGGGACAGCGACGAGCTGCGTTTAAAAAGCCATAAAGATCCTCGTTCAAGAGGTCCGGCGGCCACGAAATCACCCAAATCTAGCCACGATCGTCCCTGCGCGGACCCGTGCAGGAGTAAACACTAGGAACAGGTGACGCGTTATCGTTCCCGACGGCTCTATTACCGAGCACGAGTTTAATAAGGGGGGGAGTGCAACCGTAAAAGTGACAGGTCCCGACGGTGGACAGACCGTGGCGATCGTACTCTTCGCAGCTTAACCCTCCAAAGACTCTCAGTGATTGGTCTCTGCCTCTAATGATACGCTCTTGAGCCCCATCGAATCTTCGGGCTCGTCTAGGACCTTGGTCATCTTTAATTTATTAGATTTACCTCAGGGAAGATCAAATCATTCTGTGAGAGATGTGGCGAGTATGTTAGGCGGTTAGGTGTTGATATGACAACTATGTCAGCGATCGAAATGTCTCGTCAACTGAGTAGTATTCCTATCCAATGACTTTTACTCAAGCTCGATTCTTATGCGAGTTCTAGCCATTGCCTGCTTACTAATAGGACCTGGTAGTATAGGGAACATCACTCAACTATAACACGTAAAATATTAGACAGTTTTTTTGTTTTGTACTTTGCGCGAAATGCGCAAAGGTTGGTTGATGTTCCACGCGAGCGAATCCTCAGGCGACGGCGGAGAGATTTCGCGATTACTTGCTCAATTGACCTCGACCACAGGTCTCCACCGAAAGTGTCCTGGAACCAAGCTCCAGAAACGCGTTTTCAGGTTTTATTTATTTATTTCGATACGACAAGAGAGAGAACGAGAGAAAAGGAGACAGGGAAACGGTGAATCGCGTGGCGTCCGTCGGTTGCCGTCTAGATGTCACTCCAATCGCGACTCTCGCAGAGCTTTCTCGACGAGGAGCTTTTCGATAAGGAACCAGTTCGCCACGCGTATGTTCCATTCCGTTGCCACTTATTTTTGGCCCTGGTTTTTGTTATTTAAAGAGAAAACTAGCAAAGGAATGGGAAAGCGAAGAACGATGGGGGCGATTTGTTGGGCCAACGAGATCCGTTCGAACCAGAGATGAGCAATGAAAACCCCCACGCGAATCTTTCGAATAACGAACGAAATAGTACTTTCCTGTTCGCTACCCTTGGAATAATAATTAGGATTTTATTTGTAGAATGAAAACTTGCTCCGTTCCGGTAGACGTCGCGAATAAATTGCCGTGGGTGTTGGTTTTATTCGTCGTCTGCTCTTCGAATAATCTCTGCCCATCTCTGGCTCGTAGCCACCGTTGTTTTGTTAATTTTTCTCCGTTAGTCGCGGTTAGATTATCGAAAATTATTGCGTCAACGACGAATGCGTGCTTCTGGCGAGAGAGTGAGACAACCGAGAATGCGTCCGCGTGTGAAAGTGAGACAAAAGAAGCGACCACGAAAAAAGGCATGTAAAGTTACTTATAGGGTGTACGCGAAAAAAATACACACACACATACACACACAGAAACGCGAAAAACGAATCGGAGAAACCGAAACACGCAAAAAAAAACTGTAAACAGCTCCTCCCTTCTCCCTTGTATATTATTATAATTAAACATTAATTATTATTAACGTAAAATAAAGATCTGGCGAATGGTGGTGACGTTTTGTTAGAATGGCAAAAACTAAATTACTACTGAATTTTAATTAATAAACGACATGAAAGTAATACAACAACAGAACTGGCGTTATTATTTGTTTTTTTTTTTTTTTTGCTCTCTTTGGCAATACTACACATCCCCGCATGCGGAACAGGGAGAGAATCTTTCTCGTGTTTGCTGACAAGGTAAATCACCCAATCGTTGATTTATTCGTGGCCCGATTGGAACTTGGAATTTCTTTAATAATTTTATCGAATTTATGTTTTGTTTGTTCATTGCTCGAATACAATTTTCCACCATATCTGGTTGCGCACAGACACGGAGCCCCCTTCGGATTCGTTACTCGAACCGATGCAACCGGTGGCAGAAGAATATGGACAAAAGAGACTGGTTTCTAGGACGCAGTCGTGGAGTCCAAGCGAAATTTACGCTCCGTTTGTTTAAACGTTTACTTCGAAGATCGGTGAATGGGAGTGTCTCGCGAACGATTCATAGACAATACTATTCATTATGATTCACACTAATCCTCGCTCGTTTAATTGACGCCAGCACAGACCACGTCGACCGTGGATTAATTGCTGCTTGTTGATCTTTCCTTTCTTTCTCGCGAAGACCATCTGTTTCAATGAGAAAAATAAGGCGAACTTTGAACAACTTCAGCAAAGAAACAAAATAAAGTTTAAATAAAGAAAGCAACAATAGAATTAAACTCGTTTCCGAGTTAATCGTAGGCTGAAGAAGAGTTGAAAATTTTTCATTGCAACAAATGATTATTGTTTCAAAGTAATCACCCGAGGAAATGCTAAATATCGATAGTTACTACGTTATCACCTCGCTAACTTCTTGCTCGATGACTAATATCAGGTTTTATTTCTATAGACTTTGAAACCGACTTGACACAATAAATAGAGCC